TCTATTTCTATTTCTGTATCTTCACTATCTTTCTTTCGCTCTCTGTCGATCATTCTCTCTCTCTCTCTCTCTTTGGCTCTTTTCTCTTTCACTGACTCTGCTCTCCCACTGTCTCTCTCTCTCTCTCTCTAGTTTTCTTCTAACTTTCTCGTTCATCCTCCGTCTTCCTTTTTCTCTCACTGAATCTGCTTCTCCCTTTCTCATTGTCTCTTTCCTTCCAGCAGCTAGTCCTTCTACTCCCGTTTGTATGTGAATTTTTCAGCAATTTGCATGCCAAACAGTTCAGCTGGGTAACCTGAACTTGTAGGTACTTGTACACAAAATACCTGAATGCCGGCCACAACTTGCGCATACTTAACGCACTCAAGTGACAATAATTGAATTCATTATGGGCAAAAAACGATTGTGACAATAGCGAACCAGTTGGATAGTTGGTTATTAGCTGATATGCTGGCTAGAGGATTAACAATGGCGGGTTAATTAACCTGATGGTTACGTTGGCCTTGGAGCACCAGCAGCCGGCAATAGATAGATAGATGAGAGAGAGTGAGAGAGAAAGAGTGTGTGTGTGGGAGAGAGATACATGGTTACGGGTTTTAAGTATTATACGGCATAGTTTAAGTTCTGCTACCATTTTTATTTTAGATACGTGTACGTTTTGCCATATGAGTTAGCCCCTAGTTCTCGTATCTCCCCTTCTTGCTAACACTAAGCTCTGATTTCGTAGTGGGGCCATAAAATGTTGTTATATTGACATGATCTTCGCGTATGTTGTTGCCGCTTCGAACGCGTCTTGCAAAAATCTTTATCAACCGGGGGTCAACAAACCCCCTCGATGAGCACCGTCGTGTGCCTGCCTGCCTGGCGGCCTGCCTACCTTTGGTTTATCAGATAATGTGGCCAAATACAACGACGACAGCGACTACGTTGCTAACAATGTCTCTGACTCAAGACCCCATAAAACATGACGCCAACTTAACGGTATTATTGCCAGCAAAACATTTTAATTTGAAAACTTTAGATGAAAGAAATCGGTCAAAGTTTAGAGAGTTCTAAATTTTATAGCTTTGAAAACTTTGAGAATGTTTTGTATTTTCTTATAGATTGACAATTTTATTTTAAAAATTAAAATAAATATCGGAATAAGGAAGAAGCTCATCCATCCAGTTTTCAGTTATGACTTCAAACTTATATATATACACTTTAACTTTCTTTCTACATATGTTTATAGATAGGGATTCTAACTATATAATTAGTTTCGTACTACTTGGTTTACTTTTCTGAGTTCCCTATTATATATTATATATTATGTATTATATTATATATATTATATTATATTATTTTATATATTATGTTTCTCTAAATTTCAACTATTATTTCATTACTTTATTATTAATTTAGACATCTTAGACCATCACATAGCATACTTTTAAGAGTAGAGATAAACCTTGGAAAATTACGAAAGTGATTAAAATCAAATCTTTTGGCTAGCCAATATATAATATAAAGATATTAGTTTCAAAAAAGTTACTTAAGAACTTTTAAACTACTTAAACTAAGTTAGGAAATGTTTAGTTTCTTATATGCAATTTTTAAGTTTTAAGCTTACAACAGAGTTCCTAACTGTAATGTTTTACTATGCATATAGGGTATGTTGTCTTAACACCAAAAAACTCACCATGTAAACAATGTGGGGGACTAGAAGAAATATGCGCTGCAATTGAATTGTTTGTTGCACGTTCGATTGCAATAGCGAAATGTTGCATCAACTAGATGCATTTATGACTCAAGCCAAATAATAAAACAATATTTCCATGAGTGGAACGCGTCACAGATAACAAACGGAAGGCCAGAAACACAACAGAACTGAACAACTCGAAATAGAGCAATAAAAATAAACAAACACGTGCTAAATGCGAAGTGCAAAAAGCGAAATGCGCTCACGGAAGAGCTCGCCGGTTGGGGCTCGGGCAGGCTGGCAGGCTAGCAGGCTAGCACTTGGTAGACGTACTAAATGAAAATTGCGCGCTAGGACAACCTAACCAGAGGCGGCCAAAACTGCACTGAATGCGCCGGCAGTGGCCCCGACTCCCGAACTCCGAGTATCAAATAGAAGACGGAGACGTAGATGGAGACGTTGACGTAGACGTAGACGTAGACACTGACAGAGACCGAACCAGAGATTCTGATACGCCGAGTGCTAAAGAGAGAGAGAGAGAGAGAGAGAGAGAGAGAGAGAGCGAGAGAGAAAGAGAGCTGCCGGATTCGTCGGAGCAGCGAGCAATTCGCATACATAAATAATAAATATTCACTTACATATCTAAAACAAAATGAATAAAAAAAAATATATATATATATATAACTGTAAAAAACATAAAGCGAAGCAACCGAAAACTTGGCTAAACAAAGTGCATAAACAAAAGTTGAGCTGCGGCTTTTGCTTTTCTCTTTACTATATTTATTTTAACTCTTCTTTGGCGTTGTTCTTCTTCTTCTCTTCTTCTTGTTGTTTTTGCTTTTTTGCATTTGAAGAAAATTTGCTGACAATTGCAATAGAATTTTTGTTTTTATTTTCGTTTGTTCTGTGCTTTATTTAGTTCTCGTTTCACGCTTAACTGTTGCAACGGCAGCCCAAACATGAAGCAGGAGGCGGAGGAGGGACAGTGGCAGAGGCAGCGGGACGTTGCAGCTGAAGGCGGCATGTGGGTCTTATTTCAATTTACAACCAAGTGACGAAGTATCACAATTCAATGTTTAAAGTTTTTATCACGTTGTGGACGGACGCCAGCGCCACACACATAAGAACAAATAAGAGCGCTGCAAATTAGCGTAAACCCAACTTGCAAACACCCTATAGTTAGCTCAATCGCAAGCAATATCAAGCGGTATGTAAATAATATGTATTTATTTTCATAAGAAGTTCGTTCCTTTAGTTGAACAGCCCTGTAGGTATATTATTAGTTTTGCTCAATTAATTTATAAAACTTTAAAAATTCAAAACTTACAGATTTGAATTTTTTTTTGGTTAATATGTCTTTAATATTATTAAACAAGTCTTTAACAGGGTGTTAAACAAAAGTTAAAAAAATTCAATTATCCATAAATTATCACACTAACATCTGTATGTGTGTGTGTTTCTCTGAGCGAGGCAGGGCTGACACAGTATGGTGAAAATGCGCGACAGTCCCTCGCGGGGTCATTTGCTTAGTCAGCCCGATCCGGCACTAACTATTTAGTAAGCAACTGAAATAGTAGCACCCGTGTTAGTATCAGTTCATGAAATGACAAGCAAAAAAAAAAACAGAAAAAGAGCGCACACCATATTAGCACACACACACATACATGCTTCCACTCACATACACATACTATGTGTATGTAAGTGGAATTACTTGGATGTAGATACATAGGTTGCATTTGAACACGAGTATGACTATGAGTGTGAGAGCGTGTGTGTGACTCTGAGAATGGGCATGCAAGAATCACAGAACAACGTCAGCGTAAACTGATTACCCCCTTCGATCTACGGAGCACGTACACAGCGTTCGCTTTGGATTGGCTATTTTTGTTGTTGTTGACTTATTTCTTTTTTTTTTTTTTGGTTGTCGTCTATGGGAACCTTCGGCACGGGAGTTTGGTTTACAACATTACACTTTGAAACGAGTCATTTAACGGGTAGTTACTGCCAAACTAAAGGGCGATGCATGCGCAGCTCGTCTAATTTATGTAATGCAGTATACAGGAAGTCATAGCTAAGCTTTGAATTACAATTGCACAAAAATGAAATTGACATCGTCTATTTGATTATTAAGCTTATTGCAGCATGTACTATCAGAGCTTGTCAAACATCAATAACAACTGCTTATGTCGAATGTCAACTCATACAATCTGATCTGTGTGACGTCACAGAAGGACATTATAACTTGCACTTTCTGGCAACTCTCCGTTTTTCTTGGGATCACAGAGAACGGCTGCCTGAGACACTCACTTCCAGCTGCAAGTAACGATAAATTGTTGTCCAACACACAACAAGCTTATTTACACATGCACAACGTCATACAAATGCAGACGCAACGCACACGCATACATTCACAGAAACATAAAAAAAAAAAGAACAATAAAAACAACACACAAACATGTGTACATGTATGTATGCATATATACACGACTATAAATTTTTGCACGAAAATGAACACGTGCTGCTCCAATAAGGAATGGTAGCGCGCGAGAGGTTGCCTCCAGGCACAGCCGGCTGCCAGCGTATGGAGAGCTGGGAGGGCAGGGCAAGTGTGCGTTATGCTTGCATACCAAGCGCAACAATAACAAATGGCAACGTGAGAGCTGCTTTGCGGCTGACTCATGCCTGGCAATGCAATTGTAATGCCGCTCTTTCGGCTAAGAGCGAGTGGGTTATAAAAAAAGAGGCATGTTAACGAATAAGAGCGAGCAGCCAACCAAGTCTATTCCATTGAGCAGCAGTTGGAGGTCGGGATGCCAAAATTGCGGTGCCTGCCGACTGCTGCTGCAATGCGGGCTATTTGGTCTGAAACTTTAGTAGTCCCTGTTAACTTTTAGCAAAAACTTTTGATACGAGTACCTGCCACTAACTAAGCACAATTCTATACACGCACATTAGGCAAAAAGTTGGCACACGAAACCACCACGCATAGAAATTGAACTATGAAAATCAGAAAACTTTTCAGACAGAAATTTCTACGAAACTGCACTCGAATAAAACAAACGCCCACACTTACCGCACCGCTTGCCATTTAGTTTTAGTACGTAGATGTTTGTAATTGTTATTGAAGTTATACTAATAATGAGCCACAATAATTCAGTCGAAACGTTACAAATTTTGCATACACCAAATTACACACCAAGACATAACAAAATATTACAATAACAATACGCAGAGCCAATGTTTCAAAACAGCTGTAAATTTGGGCGCGTAATAACACAGGGCTGTTATGCCAAACAGCTGATAGCCAAATTTATCGATAGCGCGTAAAGAGAAGTGTTTAAATCTTAAGCAGTGCATGTAATACTCTTTTCCCACTGGCCGCCGCGGTGCCTTGCGTTATGTTGACTGAGAGCAATTTAAACCAACGAAAACGGCTAACATATTGCTCAAATTGCTTGCTTACAAAATATAATTTAATTCGGCGCTTGCTGCGCACCACGGTATCCGTATTTTTCTCCCGATAGCAAATCACGTCCAGAGCAAAAGTGCAGTGCAGGTAATAGATTGCTACGGCAAACCAGGCCCAAGTGGCATTGTTTTTGCAACAGACTACAAAGTCGTATGTTTGTCGCTCGCTTTCCCTCAGAAACGGCAGTAGCTCGTTATGTTGCAGCAAATACATGTGCACGTAGACGGTAACCATGTTCAACGTCCCCAATATAGCACTGATTAAAGCCTCGGCCCGCACCGCGACTCGTTCGTAGAAAAAAGATCCTATTAAGCTTAGACAGCCAATAATGAGGCCGCTTGCGTAGGTAGCGCACAATATAAAACTGTTCGGCATCCCATGGTTTATATAGCAGTCCATGTGCGTATAGCAGCAAACCGAGCTGATAACGATCTCGAATATCTTGAGCAGCGCCCACACAGGCTTCTTGGAGCGATTATGCATTGTCCTTTACATTTATATACAGAAACACATAATATATTTGCATATAGTACACAGTTAACTGTAGGTAAGGAGCTTGCCTACTGCGATTACTTACTGTGCTAAAATATACTTAAAAACAAGTTATATTATTAGGGTGCTGGATTTTTAAAGATTTACTTCCGCCAGTATTGCGTTATCCGATGAATCTGCTCGACCAGAGCGGGCATCACAGCTGTTATGGATATGTCCAGCAGGCTCTGCAAGTGCTGAACCGCCTCCTCGTCGGACAGGCCCAGCTGTAAGTTCTCCTCTACTTTCTTGACCGCCTTGTCCGGCTCCAGGGCAATATCGGGCACTGTAGCATCCACCATGAGCGAGAACAGATTGAGCATCACATTGGCATGCCGGCGCAGATGCAAATACGCTGTATAGCACTGCTTGCGGAATTCATGGTAGAAGTCAGAGCTGACTCCGCCCATTGCTTCGACCATTTCTTTGCTTAGCTTCATGGGTGGTGGCATAGGTTTCGGATCGCGCCCTAGGATATAACCAAAATCTATGTGGAACAGTTTGCCATTGCTGGTTAGCAGCAGATTGTCCAAGTGCCGATCACCCACGCCCAGTAAATACGTGATGACACAGTAGCCGGCACAGCTCTTAATGTATGTGTCCATGACCTCGGAGGATATGCCGAAGGGGCCGCTGTCGCAGGGATTGTGGCGCTTGAAAAAGCTAAGTATGTTGCCCTCCCTGGCCAGCACCTCGGCCACGGTGCACGAGTCGATGTACTGGAGGAAACCATGCTTGGAGCTGGTCGCCAGCACTTTATATGGCGTCAGTTTGAGATCAAGATTCTCCCGTCGCAGCAGCTTGTCCATCAATGTTATCATTTGAAGTATGAGCTGATCCTGACGCAGGTCATCGCCATGCTTAAAAATAGCCACATACTCGTGCTTGGCAATGGATGTAACAAAGGTGAGCCTGTAACCGGTTAATGATAATTTACACTTGGCAACTGAAGCATCATCCACTTACTTGGCTGGCATGAGGGCACTCTTGAATAGCGAAGTGCGCGGAGGTATTATTTTGGTTATATAGATCTCCGGGTCTAGTGGGAATGGTATTGGCTCAAAATTGGTAAAGTTCACCTTGAACATGACCTGCTCGGCGAGTAGCTTTTGAAACTTTTCCGTTTTCTTGTTGCGATTGCCTGGCTCCTTGGCCACCAGTTTCACCAACTTGACCAGCTCGTCAATGAAGCACTGCTGCTTGCGCAGGTTGTGGGAAATGCCGCGCAAATGAAAGTTGCCTGCGTGCGAGACAAAGAGTGGGAATAGGAAAACTTCATTTTGAGAGGATATCTACGCACCGTTATCGAGCACCTTGAGGAATATGTTCAGGACCATGGCGTACATGTCGTGCGCTCGCTGGTCCTGTTTACGCACCGATTCAACATCCTCCACCTCGATAGACAGATACCAGTACAAATAGTTGGCCAGCGTGGCATTCTTGCAGGCGCGCTGTATTAGGAATGTGCACAGATTGACTGCGACGCCTTGACCCAGAAGCGTTATATTAGAGTTGGACTGGGAGGCCAGCGAGGCGGCGCTTGCATCGGCACCGTCAGCGCGGTCCATTCTAAGTGCTGGCGTGCTGGCCCTGATCGCCGGACTGGCACTGCTCGCCATCGTGGATTTTTCGACCTTAAGAGCTGTGAGGGCAGCACGCTGATTGGCGGGTATGACGGAAGCATGCATAGCGCTGCTAGCTGCACTCAAATCGGATATGCTGCTCTGGTCTAGCAGGGAGTCGCTCTCGTCTAGCAATGAACAGACCGCGTCACGCTCCGGCTCTGGTATTATAAACTTGTGCAGCTGTATTATATTGCGCAAATCCTCATATTTGAGCGCCTGCACGAGCTGCAGCAAATAGAGTAAGAGATCCTCGTCGGGCGCCTGGGCCAAACGGCTTATCGCGTACTTGCGCACCTCCGGATGTGTAAAGGTTGGACTGAGCAGCTCCAGCGCATCCTCCACATCCATGGGCGCCCAATTGGCGAGCATCCAGAGAGCTTGGGTCACCTCATCATTTAGTTTCCAATTGATGCACTTTAAAAACTTCGTCAGCGCCTTTTTATGCGTCGACAAGTAGAAACGGAACTTCCAAACCAAATCCTGCTCCTCGCTGTTGAGCATATAAGTTGGTGGATAACAAACTATTTTGTGCAATTGATCCCGAATGCTGTAATAGAAAATATTTAATATTCTATTTTGACTTCTTTATGGACTTTAATTAATACATACATTGCAGTCGGCTTGGCATCGCGATCTGAAATACCAGAGCGTTCCGAACGTGCCAAGCGATGATGTTTGCGCTCCACTAAATTTTCCTGCAAATTCTAGTAAGTAAGATGCTAGACATAGCTTTGATATACTTACCATTTGAATTTCCGAATCTGGGACCAGAACTAACTTAGGTTTGGTTGGCAATTTATACTTGTTGTCCACTTCTGGCTCAAAGTAGACAACTGAATACTATAAATATTAGAAGATCATTAGCATATATTGTAATAGCACTAAAGGATAGAACTTACGTTGTACATATCATCCACGATAATTGTGGGAAACTCAATCATGAGAAACATATAGTCGGACATGCGCTTTTCGCGCTCGTTAATCACCTCGATTTCACGGAATGTCAAACGATCCAGCCAGTCGACCTTCTGTACCTGTCCGTTGCGATGCTTTTTGGCCAATTTGCCAAGTCGTTGCATCTGTGATTTAGAGGACTCCTTGCCCTTGCCAGGGGTTTTGCTCGGAAAGCTGCCATCACCTTCAACGCCCAGCCAAACACGTAGATCATACATGCCCTGACGAAACATGCCGTCCTTGCCAAACATTGAAATTGCCGTGCCGCCTATAACTGTAGTCTGGCCAGCTCCTGAGCAGTCCAGTATGGTCAGCACCAGCATTGCACTCCGTGGTAAATCGGAGAATAGCAATGGTAATGTCACCCATTCATTCCAGCTCCAGCGTTTGCCGAAGGCCTTGTATGAATTGTGCACGGGTAGGCAATATGGGTGCCCGTCATTGTAAACCTGTAGTCGCACTTGGAACGAGGGATATTCCTCGGAATAGAGGCCCGAGAAACGAAGTATGGGATCATCGAGCAATTTTTCGTAGTCAGGCTGCCGTTTCTTGCCTTCGAGCGTGCCACTGTGAGGTAAATCATATATTAGTTAACATCTTGGATGTGTAGTGACTACTAACACTTTAATTTGGACACGTTCGTGTAGGGAGGAACTGTGTATATAGCGAAAATGATCATCTGGCTGATCCATTGCGACTATTTTTATTTTTAACCCATGAGCAGCTGCTTGATGACGAACCTATCAGTAAACAGCTGAGCGGCATGCAATCGCTATCGATAACGTGCTTATGTTAAGTTAACAGAAGCACGCAGTTTTAACAGAAAAAGAAGAAGAGGGGGCGCGAACGCATTGGATCTGAAGAGAAAGACTAAGCGCCCTGGTAAAGATGTCAACAAATGCAATGATAGACCTGGCGCTGGACCGAGTGGATTGGACTGCTTTGGCCGAGAACCAGGAGCAACAGCCTCGTATTTACACACCCGGCGAAGTGCTTATGGCGGAATCAGGCTTTATGCGCGGCCATGGAACTTTCGTTGAAGATGAAAACATAAAAGCCTCAGTGGCAGGTGTGATTGAGAAGGTCAACAAATTGATATCGGTGCGACCGCTGAAAAGTCGCTATGTGGGTGAGATTGGCGATGTAGTGGTGGCACGTGTACTGGAAGTGGGTCAAAAACGTTGGCGTGTGGACACAAATTCACGTTTGGACTCTTTGCTGCTGCTTTCTTCAGTAAATCTACCGGGCGGTGAGCTCAGGCGGAGGTCTGCGGAGGATGAACAAATGATGAGGCGTTATCTGGACGAAGGGGATCTGATATCCGCAGAAGTGCAGGTGCGTAAGTCAAAAAGAAGTTAAAAAAGCTTTAACTTGGACTGTGGATATTTTGCAGAATGTCTTTGAGGAGGGCACGTTGTCGCTATACACCCGCAGCTTAAAATACGGCAAACTATCCCAGGGTATACTGGTCAAGGTTTTTCCAGCGTTGGTAAAACGGCGAAAGATGCATTTTCACAATCTGCCATGTGGTGCGTCCGTTATTCTTGGCAATAATGGCTACATCTGGATATCGCCCACAAAGAACGAAGACCAAGTCGGTGGCGAGGGAGGTTTTGCCCAGAACCTAACTGAAGTCGTGCCACGCAACGAACGTGAGGTTATAGCACGCCTGCGCAACTGCATCCTGGCGCTAGCCAAGTGTAAACTGATGTTATATGACACAAGCATTCAATACGCTTACGAAGAGTCGCTCAAATACGAATCACGTGAGCTACTCCAGCAGCATGTCATCTTTGATATTGGCGAACAAACTCAGGCTCGACTCAGAGATGTCGATCTTATGGATTGATGCTTGTGCATAAATAAAATGTTTTACTTAATATCATTTGTTTATTATATTATAAATTGTTGTTTAACTAGGTGCTGGCTGTCAACTGGGAGAGATGTGCTCAGCGATATCTTGTTTTTCCATTTTTATATTCATTGATGATATCGATTGAAACGGCAATTAGTGGGAGAGCTGAATCATGGCTAAGAATTTATCATATTACCTGATTTAACATTTGGCTACCTGCGCTAATTACATTTACGTTTGCTTTGCGCGACCAATAGAAAACTGACTGAATTGACTAGAAATAACTATCAACTGACTCAAATCATTAAATAAGATTATTAAGGAATCATTGAGGAATTTTAGTACTTCTTATTTACTTAGTGAATAAAACACTGATACAAGATACAAGATACAAATATCTTAAATTTATTCAGTTTTTATAATTAAAAAAAAAAATTTTTTTACTAAATTTGCTTTGCAAATTTGATTTGAACATCCTCCTATTTGGGTCAGATTTTTGATTAACTTCAGTTCAGTTCAGTTCATTCACGAACATGTTAATCAACACGAAAACAGTTTGTTTACTAAAAATACTTAGTGTTTTTGCATTGCAGTAACAACGCTTTGGTAATCTTCTGGCAACGCCAACAAAATGGCCTCTTTATGTACAGTGTGGCAGCGCTATTCGAGGTTTGTGTATTGATGCAAGGCATTGTGTTTTTCTCATTCATTTTCCTATTTTTGTTAAATTACAACAAAATAAATATAAGCAACTACATCGAGAGTGATTGAATTGCATCGTTAAGACAAAGGCTATACAATTTTCAAGATGGCTGCCCTTGCCGTTGTGCGCGAAACGGAATTACGCAAAAAGGAAATATGTCGCTTCTGTCTGGTGCAACAAAGCAAACTTGCCTCAATTTACATTGAAAATACACGCGTAAAGTCAACTGCGTCCCTGCCGCTACAAATAATGGCCATAACTTCTATAGAGGTAAGTCGCGATCTGGTTTTGGCTTAGACTAAGGCATCTCTTTTTGCCTGAAGATGAACAATCAAAGAACTTGGCTAAGATGTTTGTCATCGCTGGTTGGTTTCTAAATAGTTGCGTTGGCGTCTTCGCTAACCTATTTGGCGGGCTTTGGCATATAATAACAATTCACAGCAGCCACTGCTACCGTATTAACAATATTTTTAATTGTGAAAGCAAAAAAAGTATAAACAAATCGCACAAGTATACTTACCATTTGTCAAATATGGCGACAACTGTACAATGATGCCAGATCGACTGAAACTGCCGCTCGCATTTAAAAATATAATTTCACTATTATTTCTCCAGTTTGTAATTCATTTTTTTTTTTTTAATATGATTGTGAATAGTAACGGAAGAGTATTTTGGGCATGATTTACCACCTATTCATTGAGCTGTCGATGAAATACTTAAAATGAATTGGAATTCGTTCTGTTCCTTAATCAGAGGTGGTTGTTAGCCTGCCTAGCTGATAGGGGGTTTGTCCGTAACATTGACGGCACAGATGAAATTTGTCTCTCACGATCCGTCATAGGACTGGTTGGCATGTTCGACACGTAATCCACGGTCACACGTTGACTGACAAGCAATATGAGCATGTTGTACTCTTCACCATTTTCATTTAGTTGCTTCATGAGGGACTATAAACCATGAGCCATTTTCCGTGCTTCGCCACAAATTGTATCCTGCTTTATTTTCTAAGAATGTATTTGAATAGCAACTAAGTAGCAACGCTTTGTTAATCTTCTGGCAACGCCAACAAAATGGGCTCTTTACGTAAAGGGTGGCAGCTCTACTAGAGGTTCGTGTATTGATTGATGCAAGGCATTGTGTTTTTGTCATTAAATTTTCTTATTTTTTTAAATTACAAAAAAAAATAATTATAAAGAAATACCTTGAGCGTGATTTAATTGCATCTTTAACACAAAGACTAAACAAATTGCAAGATGGCTGCCATTGGCGTTGTGCGCGAGAATGAATTACGCAAAAAGGAAATATGCCGCTTCTGTCTGGTGCAACATAGCAAACTTGCCTCAATTTTTATTGATAATGCACGCGTAAAGTCAACCGCGTCGCTGCCACTACAAATAATGGCCATAACTTCAATAGAGGTAAGTCGTGATTTGGTTCTAGGTTGGACTAAGTCATCTCTATTTGCCTGAAGATGAACAATCAGAGAACTTGGCTAAGATGTTTGTCATCGCTGGTTGGTTTCTAAATAGTTGCGTTGGCGTCTTCGCTAACATATTTGGAGTGCTTTAGTATATATTAATAAGCCACAGCAGCCACTGCTACCGTGTTAGAAATATGATTAATTGTGAAAAAAGTAGGATACACAGGTATACTATTTACCATTTATCAAATATGGCGACAACTGTACAGAACTACACACACACAAACTCAGCATGGCGCAATGCTGCCAGATCGCTTGCAACTGGTGTTAGCATTTAAAAATATTTCACTAGTTATTTCTCCAGTTTCATGTTTATTTATGTTTGCATATCAAATATATATATACCTACGTTTCTGATCTTGATTTATTATATGATTGTGAATAGTAATGGAAGAGTATTTTGGGCATGGTTCACTACCCATTCATTGCGTTGTCGATGATATACTTAAGATTAATTGGAATTTGTTCTGTTCGTCAATCAGCGATGGTTGTTAGCCGGCCTGGCTGCTAGGGGGTTTGTCCGTAAAGCGCAAAATGCGCGTTAACATTGACGTCACACATGGAATTTGCTTCTGACGATCCATCATAGGACTGGTTGGCACGTTCGACTCGTAATCCACTGCCACGCGTTGACTGACAAAAGTCAACAATGTGAGCATGTTGTACTCTTTACCATTTTCATTTAGTTCCTTAATGAGAGACTGTATAAACCATGAGCCATTTTCGGTGTTGCGCCACGAATAGTATCCTGCAGAAAAGGTTTAGCTATAGTAGGCGATTTGAATTCAAACACAATCAAACCCACCAGGTATTGTAGAATATGAGAAAAGAAAATCGGCATGTATGGGTATTTTGTAGCTTGTCGATGAATCGCCATCCGTTTCAGTAACATTCTTTACTAATGTCGTCCCCGAGTCCAATCGATCGCCCTGACAGGCCTGGATGAAGAATAGCTTTGGTTTACCTGCTAGCGTGGGGCAATTGTTGGCAGTCAAATATTGCCAGATGCTGTCCAGCCTGTACTGCACATCTTTGGCATAGAGGTGACCATGTTCGCCATGGGATAATACGGCAATGGCTATGCAATCATTGTCGCTGTGATCCTTCGAGGCGGCCTTGTTAACTATATCGAGAATTTCACTGATTGTACAATCCTTGTGCACAGTCACATCGAAATCCAAACGTTTCAGGGCCTTGCGCAGCTCCTCGCTGTCCACATTTGTGCCGGGACGTGGTTTTAGCCACGGTATATCAAATGTTTCGTGATTGAAGATCAATGCCTGTCCACGGTGTTTATGATTCATATTATATTCTTTTGCATATCGGTCGGTGGGCATGCGAGCCACACATTTATTAATTGGGCTGATTCAACGAAAAGATAAATAACACCGTATCAGTAATCAACTATATATGTACATTATTAGCTCAGATAGCCAAACAACAAATCATACAAAGAAATGGAGGAAGTGGAGAGACTATTATCAATACATACACATTAATGCAAGTTTAACTTACAGAACACTCTAGAACTCACTTTATATAACACTGATTATAGTTATCAACACTTTGGACGCGGTTATAAATAAAAAAAATTGGTCATATTTCATGTTGTTGCATTGATCGTGTTAAAAAATAAGGCTACGTGACCTTTACATGTATCTCAACACAATTAGTATACCCTTTTCAAGCATTTTTCACTCATACAGGGTATTTAAAAAATGCACTTACGCTGCGACGGCGCTGGCTGCACCACCGCTTCGAGCAGAATTTGTACTCGATTCTCCTTTTGCGTCGATGGTATCAGTATTGTTGTTTATTTTGCCGTTGTCAAGGTTGTGAGAACCGAAGGATCGAATTTTGCACTCGTCCGTCATTTTACTTGTTTTTGCTCTCTTCTATTCTTTCTTTCTTCTTTATCCCTGCACTCGTGCTTGTTTGCGTTTCTCCTTGTTGCGTGCCTTTTGTTCTGTTCTGGTTATTCAATTGTTGCGCCCTTTCCACTAGCGAAGAAGTTCTTGCGTGCGTTTGCACTGGTTTATGCTGTTTTCTTGTGCTGTAAACAGCTGTTTTTTTTGTTAGCCACGTAGCAACAGTTACAAATTGTATTTGATTAAAAATAGCGTAAATGTCCTTTTATGGTTAACCGTGTTCAAACAATTAATTAACGAATGCGGTGTAGAGCGAGCTCTGCACTCACGAAAACAAATCGCGCGATTGCACTTGTAGTTGTGCAGCGCTTGCCGCCAATAAATGCATTTGGCGTTGCCACATTTGCTGCTGACATGATCAGAGAGCATGCGCGATGCTGCCACTTAAATATGTTGTCTAACCATTCACACGTAAACGTATTTCTATTATTTATAAATTAACAGGTCCATAGCAATGATGGAATGCCCATCTATATCTGTTTGGACTGTCGTCTACTTTTTGAACACTGTTATCGCTTTAAGCAGATGTGTAAAAATGCGGAGACTCTACTACGACAGTATCCGCTTACTGGTAAATGGCCCGAACCGCTGGAGAAGCCGCGTGCCCCACTGATGGCCAATCAAACGGTTTCAGCTAAGAAGGATTCTGCAGAAATACAACCCAAAAAGCTGCTCAATTCTATGGCAAAGTCCAATAATGTACAGATTGAAAGCGTGCAGGTATTGGAAACTAGTTGTCTCACTAGAAAGCTGCTCAACTCGGGTGCGGCGAACTCTACTGAGCCACCGCTTACTCCAAGAGTGTCTTCGGTAAAAAGGCCACAATCGATGTCATATCAAATGAAAGTGGAGAACAACCACGAACTGTCCATGGACGATGTGCAGAATTTAATTGCCGATATCGCTGAAGAACTTGATTTTATTAATGCACCGGCTGCTCCTGAAACGGCCCCTGTTACCAAACCAAAGGTTCTCAACAAATCCTCTATGCGAATTCTTAACAAAGGTGCCAGCACATCTTCAGAGCCTCTCCTAGCCACGCCTCAAATAAAGCACGACGAGGATGGGAACGTTGCGCTTGTCACGGAAATACTCGATGCCGATTCAATCGAAGCAATTGATGCGGTCACAGATCCCATAAAAAATGCCGCGCCTGTGGAGACAAACGTCTTTCCATGTCCTCACTGCGATCGCTCATTTCCATTGAAGCAGCTGCTCGACATACATGTTGTAAACCATTCGCGCACACGTAGCTTTCAGTGTCCAGAGTGTGACAAGAGCTTCTTCTCTAAGTACGATCTGCAGAAGCATAACTTTATACACACAGGTGAGCGTCCCTACAAGTGCAGCGTCTGCGAAAAGGCCTTCACACGTCGTGCTCTACTGCATCGACACGAGCGCACCCACACCGACGTACCGAAGTTTATATGTCTTTACTGCGAGAAGCCGTTCATCTCGCGCAAGGAGATGGAGAAGCATGCAGAGCGCCATACCAAGAAGAGACCTTTCCAGTGTGGCGTGTGCCAAAAGGCGTTTGCCTTTAAGCAAGGTCTGGAACGACATGAGGTGAGTCATCGCATTGAGTTCTTATCGAAATATTGGTATATATGTATGTGACATATCTTTGTTTTTCTTCAGGTCATACACAACACGAATCTGCCATTCCCGTGCCAGTATTGCAGTCGAAGCTTTGTGACCGCCGGCAAATTGGCGCGTCATCTGGTTGCGCATGCCGGCAAACGCGTTTATCCCTGCAAGTATTGCACCAAGTCGTACCTGCTTTCGCATCACTTGTCGCGTCATCTGCGCATGCACAAGCAGGCACTAGTAACCTCATTTATATGCAGCATTTGCAAGGATATCCACGAAACTTATGACAGTCTGGTGGAGCACTCGGCTATTCATGCAAACATCTCGTTGATCTGTCCGTTGTGTCAGGCGAGCATCGCTGACTTCGATTGCGTGGAGTCGCACATGCAGGCGCACAAGAAGAGTGACCGGCACGCGTGCGAGTTTTGCGATTATATTTTCCTTACTTCAAGTCAGTTGCATAAACACATCGAGGACGATCATGTGGTCGACATGGTGCCGTATCAGAATGAAGGCGAATACGAGCAGGGAGGTAATAAAGAGGATTCTGAGAAGGAGTCTGAGTTAATGGAGGAATTATTGAGCGAGGAGCCACAGTCGCATTCAAATAAATCCGCATCGCCACCGCAGCCGAAAATACGGAAAATCAATCCGAGTTCTAAATCAACAAACAACGAAAAATCTATGCAAGAGTCAAGTTCAAAGAAAATTAAAGAAGAGCCGGGTTCACCTGTTGTGGTGAAAAGAGAACGCCCATTAAAGTCGCCTGCCGCAGCCCCTGTTTTACCTGAAAACAAACGTCAGACGCGCAGGCAGGAGGCCAAACAAAAGATTCTGAAACCGAGCGATTCCGGCAAAAGATTGACTAAGAAAGTTCTTGCAGTTCACGAAAAACCAGGCATGAAGCCAAGAAATGCAAAGGTGACAAGTTCAAAGCATCAGAGCTCCAAGTAGATTCTCAACCCATATGCGATGTTTATAAATATACAGATAGCTAAAGCATAAAAAATGTATTTTACATTTTGCAAATTTATAAATGAGTCTACGGATCATTTTAGAATTGCTCAACATTTTATGAATTTACGTCTAGTTGTCGTTTGCAAGTAAGTCGCTTTTAAAAGATTTGAAAGCAAGTGAAGATGAGAGTTTTATACAAAGAAATTGTATTTATCATAATAAACCGCGAATGAAATCTATATCTAACTATATATCACTATGTCTGCACTTTCTTCTTCTGTCGCTTATCCAGTTTGTCACTCTTTATTTAGTTAAGTTTATCGGGAGTGTTTCTGTTTGTGTGTATTTCCACATTAATTACAGCTAACAATATGTTTAAATACATCGATTGTTATAATAGTAGCAATGGCAAATTACCAGCAATTGCGACACTTTTACGAAGAAGGTAGCCGTTTAGTGCTCATAGCCATCGGGCAGGGCGTTAACATGGGGGTTGTGGAACAGGCTCTTGTTGCCCTCGCCCCAAGGGAAACGCTTCTCACGGCGACGCAGATATTCGTACTTAACGAACTCCTGGCGGGGGTGATCGTGCTCCTCCTGGTGCTTCAGGTATGCGTTCAGCATGCACAGACCGACAGCTGGCATGGCCACGAAGAAAGACAGACGCTTCCAGACCTTGTAGCCACCTGTAAGAAATCAGTCATTAGAGCAAATGGCTTCAACGATTTTTAAAGTTTTGGTAGAAACCTCAAATTATATAACCTTAACCTATGAGGATATTATGGATTGTGGACATATTTACCCGAATGTTCTCCAGCTACGGCTGCAGTGCCAGACATGTTCCTGGCGGCAACAACGCCAATTTGGCGACGAATTGCGTTATTTAACACAAAAGACATATTTACGTTTTAATTTCCGTGCCTTATGTGATTTATAAATGAAAATTATTTCTTCTTCTTCTATTTCGTATTCAACCCTGTTTTTACGTGTTAACTTAACATTTTGCTCTAATGTTATTAACAGTAAGTAAAAAGTGATAATATGAAACTATCATAATATAGTTTTCAAAGCTGTAAATAAATAATCAAAAAATTAAAACATTTTCAAATAAAATTATAGATTTTATATGTGACGCAAAGCTGCCTAGCGGCAATTTGCTTGAAATATTAGGTAATAGATTCTTAACAGATGCAGCTGACTTACAAATTAATCGATAGTTAAATTTAAATAAAACGATAATTCAGCTTGGAAACATGAATCTGAATCTGAAATTTTTACTCAAGCCTAAAATTATGCAAATGTTTTTTAAAAGGGGCTTTGATTATTTACACCAAGCCTAAGAGTTTGAGTTTACCTCAAAATATAACAATATAAATATTCTATGTGCATCTCAAGGTCTTGACAAACACTGGATTTTGCTTGTTTTATCACTTGATAAACTCTGGGGATTTTCTGAACATATTCAACATCAGATTTTAATCCAGAGAAAGTTTAACAGACAATTTTGTTTGGGCTGTAGATTGAAACTAAACTAATGGCTTAGCTAAAGTTTTAAATATATTTATTATAGAGGCAAATAACAAATTCAGTGGATCCAACATCATCCTTCTCGAAGTTGTCAATATAGAAATCTGGGCCCATGATTTGAGGAACTTATAAACAAATTTAAGTCTTCTATGATAAACTCAAATTTAGTCCATCACGTTCATGGTGAAAAGAAAAAGCAGACGAAAACGTGCCCAAAAGTAATAAAATAATATTTTGTTATCAATATTTAGTTTTGTTCACAGATGCTTTTCATCTTACCCCCCGAAGGCTTGGAGTTGATGACAAGCTGGTTCAGTCTTCCTTGGCCAAATTGAAGACAGCATATCAAGTCATATAACGGCAATAAAATTACGATGCCCAAAATGCTGGTAGATTTAAATGATAACTGAAATGAGGCTGCATAAAATGACTTACTTAGCAATTTAGATTAGACCCGCTGGCAACTGTTTGACTTATCAAGTATAAATACGTGGGAATATGGGCAGACATAGTGTCAGTCTATGAGGAACTCAAGCACAAGTATGGGGTATCTCTTTGTAAATATTGTGCTGCTTAGCGCCTTAGTGGCGACAACTTGGTCGGCGGCCACCTTCAATAGTAAGTGCTCAGTTCGGCTAAAGCATCTCGAAGCTAACTGAATCATCGACTGAATTTGCAGTGAAGGAATTTCACAATCAGGAGCAGCTGGTGGGTCAGTCGAGTGTGGCTAAGGCCAGAGATACGAATCTTCTTGATCCCAATGCCATGGCCAAGAACAAGTATACGCCACCGGAGGAGAAGAACGCTCAATTCTGGTATGATCTGGCCAATGAGGAGATAGCCAAGCGCTTGGCCTTGCCGCAGCCGGACAAGAGGAAGGCCAAGAATATGATCATGTTCCTGGGCGATGGTATGTCTCTAACAACAATTGCGGCTGCTCGTATTCTGAAGGGTCAACTGAAAGGCAACCCCGGGGAGGAGGATTCACTGAGCTTTGAGACATTCCCGCACACGGGCCTGAGCCGGGTAAGCAGCAGTCGGGAAAAGTGTTTGATTTCTGGAAATTCGTCATTCTTCATTGTTCGTTCGGACAGACCTATTGCTCCAATGCTCAAGTGCCGGACTCTGCCTGCACTGCGACCGCCTATCTGTGTGGCGTCAAGACCAACATTGTCGCCCTGGGCGTCACGGCCAACGTGAACTTCAACAATTGCAGCGGCAGTGAAGATCCCTCGAATCAGGTGAGCTCCATTGCCGCCTGGGCTCAGGCAGCTGGCAAGGCGACTGGAATTGTGACAACGACCACTCTGACCCATGCCAGTCCATCGGGCGCCTATGCGCACACCACAAATCGCTTCTTCGAGTCCGACACGGACATTGTTACCTATGGCGAGGGCAAGAATTTCCCCGAGTCCTGCACGGACATTGCCACGCAGCTGATTACCCAGGCGCCGGGCAAGTACTTTGATGTTATGCTGGGCGGCGGCATGGGCAAATTTTTGCCGAAATCGATTACGGATAAGTTTGGCAACCCGGGCGAACGCTCCGATGGCGTCAACTTGCTATCCAAGTGGCAATCGTTGCATCCGGATGGCGCGCTGGCCTACAATCGCAAGCAGCTGCTGAGCGTGGATGCTAAGCGTACACCTCGCTTGATCGGTCTCTTCAACTCCGGTGTCATGGACTTCCACAAACTTGCCGATGCGGAACAGAAGCCCACGCTGGAGGAGATGACCAGAAAGGCCATTGAGGTGGCTAGCCAAAATGATGAGGGCTACTTTCTGTTCATCGAGGGTGGCCTGGTGGATTACGGAAATCATTTCAATATACCCCAGATGGGACTTGACGAGGTGCACGAGCTATCCAAGGCTGTGGAGACAGCGGTTGGCATTACAAACCCCGATGAGACTTTGATTGTGGTCACCTCCGACCATGCCCATCCCCTGTCAATCTCTGGCTATCCGGGTCGTGGCACAAACATCCTGGGACTCAATCAGCACGATGCCGACATCAATGGCGTCAAATATGCCACCTTAAACTATGCAGTTGGCACCCAATCGTATCTGGACGAGAATGGCAAACGCCAGCCGCTTGAGGATAAAATCAATGATCCGCGTAAGTGCAGAAGTTCGACTTGGTGAAATGCCTAAGATTCTATTCTACTATTCTTTTTATGCAGTCTTCATCTATCCGAGCTATATAACTGGCAGCATTGGCGTGCACTCGGGCGATGATGTTGGCATCTTCGCCACTGGACCCCAGAGTCATCTGTTCTCCGGCGTTATGCAGCAGAGCACGATTCCCCATCTCATGGCCTATGCCGGCTGCATTGGCAATGGACCCACTGTCTGCGACAACTGAGCTCTGGACACTAACTACAGAATGGCATTGATTCTATATTAATAACAGCAAATGTTATGCAACTGTTAATGTTCATGTTATGCTAATAATTCTTGCAGCTTCTTGCGTGGGTTTGCCTCTGCGGGTTCTTCATGCTTCAAGAATAAAATAAATTGTGTATAAAAAATTGGTCTATCACAATTCTTGAACAGCCAAGGCTGATGCTAATGTTAATGTTAATGTTAATGTTAATATTAATGTTAAGCGAAATGCAAATGTTATACAATGAATACGAGTTGCTATATGAAATATTCATTGCTTATTCGAGTTGACGACTGGCTAAACGATTTCTCAACTTCAATTAATTAAAAATGAAAATAATAAAAATGAAAAAAAAGTTGCTAAAAATCAATAATTAAATTGACATTACCCGTTTTATTTATTGCCATTCTATGCATGTTTCGCCTGGAAACTTATGCGAATTCCTGTTCTCACATGAAATGCAAATTGCTTTCAACAAAAAATTGATTTCAATTTAAAACGCATCAAACACACAAACGTCTCGTTCAAAAGTTGTGCGTCTTGCATACCCTGTAAAGGTTGACATAAAGGGTGGTTGTGGCTGGACTTGTAAGCAAGGAAGTTTGTTTGTGCATTGCTTTGTTCTTTGGCTTTATTTATTTATAATAATTTCTGAACATTTTTAATTTATTTATTAATTTAATGGGTATCTGTTGGCCGAGCTCCGCTGCGCTGCTTCTATTCACATTTGTTTCAATTGCCGCCTGACGAACGACATCGATTTGGTATCACTTGGACTTGGAGTGCTAACACTTAATGCATACGACTGTGCCAGTGTGTGTGTGTAATATTTTCTGAATGTCAGGTTCAAGTATTGCCAGTGCGTCAGTCATGCATAAAAATGTATCTGTTAGCTTGCAACGGGCAAGTGGCACCCACACAGGCATTTAGAGCAGCCGCCGTCTCGCTCTCTCGTTGACTTTGACTTGTAATTGTGTTCATTGTTGGCTGCTTTTTTAAATGCTTTTCTTGTTGTTGTTGTTGTTGTTGTTGTTTTTAACGCGTTTTTGACACAAATGACTGAGAAACAGTTCGCCGAGACAATAAACATCAATTTTTTGTATATGCATGCATTCAGAGTTCGCAATTAAGGATTTCAAGGCTGGGTCCTTGCGGTTCACATTGCGTCATCGCAGCATCTGCAGCTTGCAGCTGCTGCTGCTGCTGCCTAATTCTGAGCCTATATTGAGTTCAGACTTAATTTTATTATTATTTGTTTGTCTCGTTTGTTCGCTTGTTTATTTGCAAGTTGGCTGCATGTGGCGCGCGCGTTCTGCTCTTAACATTTTGTTTGCTCAGCGAAAAGTGGCAGCCGCTGTCGCTGTCGCTGCCGCTGCTGCTGCTGCTGCTGCAGTCGCCGTTAACAAGCGTCGGCTCACAGTTTCAACGTCTCAACTAACCAAGTCTCAGTTGAAAATCTGTCGCGACAGCAAACGCGCGTGCGGCTTAAGCTTTTAATGCTAATTTTTATTGACTGCAACTTCTGACTGCGACTGTGACTGTGCCTCTGTCTGTGTGTGTGTGCAACGTAGCTACTGTTTGTGTGCTTGTGTACGCGCGCATGCGCAACTGCTGGCAGCAAAAGGCGCTTAAATTTTGTCACGTTTGCCTTTTCAATCATTGAGAACTCTTTTAGTGCTACAATTATTGCCAGGTAAGTGTCAAATTCATTTGGCAGTTAAACTTTAAATTGATTTAATTTAGCCAAAGTGTAGCTAGGTGGCAACCCTGTAACAGGACAACAAATGAGTTTGAACTAGTTCGCAGCCTTATTGCCATTCACTGACTTAGCAGACATCTGTTAGTTAATTTAAATGCAAATATTTCTAGAGTTTTTTAACTGGAGCATTGACAATTTTGTTATTCGATGCTTGGCAGGAAATCAGCATTAAATATCAGATTTAATAGCAGCTTGTGAATTTGATTGAATTGCGGTTAGCGCAGTGCGCGAGCGACACGACAACTGACTGTACTTTGGCAGAGGTGTTGAGTATTCGACTTTTATGAGGCAAGCACTATAACAGGTAACCGCAAATACAGGTGAGACAGTTAGTTTAGCTTTATGATTTGTTTACCAGGCTTTTTACTGCTTTGTATGTGCTGGCAAATATGGCTAGCTGCCTTAATACAGTGCCCTGGACTAGCGCTTTCGAAAGTTTACTTTCGGCCAACAGCTGTTATCCCCATTTGATTCCCAAAATCTGCTCGCATTTTTCATAAAGCACTGTAGAAAGTAAGACTCTTAACAGCCGCGTTTGCCAGCCGTTTGTGCTACTTATTTGCGGCTATCATGTTCCCGGGCTGGCTTTTACCAGGCTGCCACAGCCACTGCCACCGAAAGATGAAAGATGAAAGAGATCTGGTCTGCATAACTGCTGCTGGCATTTCGTGGGTGTAGATGCATTCGGCATGATAAGCCAACTGCAAGCTTAGTAAGCCTACTCCAGTCACGGCACTCTCAATCTAGGCTAATTCTAATACGCTGCAAAAACAAAAGTTTGCAATTCATCAGCTGCCTTTCAGCCAGAAAAGTAATTTATTAGAGCATTTGTTTGGATATGGAACTGCGCGTGTTCATTTGCTAGCTGTTGTTTATCCGCATGTTAGCGCCTGCCTGCCAAAGTTTGCAATGTGCATATTTTCGTATCTCAGAGATACATATACGTGTGTGTGTGTATATGTGATGCATGTTATTTGAATTTCTGTTTCTGTTTCTGTTTACTTGCCCATGAACCTGAGCATTTGACTTGATTCCCGACAACATCGGCGAAATTGCAACTCGGCAGGTTTGTCACGTGAGACGAGAGTACATAGCTGAGGCTCTAATCTAATCGCCATGAAGTAGCCCGGACCGAGGATCTGATTTCAGATATTTTTAACTATTTTTATTATTCGTCTATCTAGTTAATATGCCGGATAAAAGTAAAGCTGCGCATATATATATATATAGATTAGATAGGGCATCAAAATAACCCAGACAGTAAAAAATTTATAGTACTTGCATTAAATCGTTGAACTGTTCCGGTTTTAACCTGAAACTTTGCGAATTTCGTGAGAATTGAGGAACGTCTTCTGCTATGATATATCCAAGATATTTTCAGAGTTCTCTTTGCATTTCTAGCTTCCCTATTTATCTAATCTGATCGAATGCAGTTGGTTATGTCTAACTGCGTAAATAATGGGATTGGTCGAACGGAAAAAAGTGAGAAAAAATTATAATAATAATCAAAAATTCACACGACAATAAACTGGCTGTGCGGGCAGAGCTTTTAGAATTTAGACATTTGCTTCGATTGTAAATATACAAAATGTAAATATGAAAGACTAGTATTGTCTTTGGACTGTGGTTAAGGTTAACCAGATCTCGCTTACACGTCACCCAGAAACAGGAAAACCGAAATTTTGTTTTGTTTTTGCTGTTGTTTCTGTTGTTGCTTTTGACCTGGGCGAATTGTAACAATATTTAAACATTTGCATATATGAGTGCCCCGTGCTCGACCATTCGCCCATTAATCCCATAAATTTGTGTTTGTTTTTTTGAACTTTTTTTGTTGCTTCATTTTAACTAAACACAAAGCAAAACAAAGCAGAAAACACGCAAACAACGCTGGTGTGTTGACGTTGACAGCCCAGTTCCGGTAAAACGTCGCTGAACCCTCTCAAACCACAGACCAGCGAAGGTGACTCGCAGCCAGCTACTGGTCTTACCAATCTGCTACACTCTTGTCCAGCTGACGATCCGCTGATGTCATATCAAATGGTCAGTGACTAATCTCACGTTGGAGTTGAACTCTCTCGGCCAGCGTCATGCGATTTGTTTGTAAACATCAACAAGAAGCGCGTTTATTTATGTAATTAAGCGAACACTCGCTGCATGCTAATTGGACTGACTGTGAGTTATTGACAAACAGAGCGGATAGAATCTTATCGGATCTGGTAGGGTCTTATTGACATTTGTTAAAAACCCAACCAGACGCAATTAGACTATGAGCAGGCAAAATCCAATTCGATTCATGTTTCCTTTGAGCTGGTTCAGTGATCTGGTTGGGTTTGCGGACAACTTCGAACTTATCCAAGGTACGCCTATCTGTCCGTATGAAGCCATAAAATTCTAATTGGGAAATTACTTGAATATTTGAATATATATTCGTATAGACTTTGCACAGTTCTATGCTTCAAATTTATCTATGTATTTATGCCCATTGGGGGGAATACCAAAAATCTTATTTGTAAAAATATCACTGTATTAAATCTAATTAGATTATGCCAAAGGTATATTTAAGAGACTTAAATCTGCAGTTATTTATTGCACAGTTGCATATCTAGAATCACCTGGTTTGGCAGGTGTATACACCTACATGCTGACCTCTACATGGAGAGCTATAAATGATTTGCTGCATATAACTCGAGTTGGACCAGTCTGAGGCATTTCGAATTCTTATTCGATTTTAAGTTAGGTTTTGGCACTTTGCACTTAAAATTTTGGCTACTGCTGCAATTTGTGTCTGTTTATGGCTTTGATTTATGCGGCTCGTTGGCTTAGCAGCTAAATTGATTGACGTTTTGGTTTATTTAATGATCCAGCGAGTTAAGCAGCAAATGAACGTCACAACTCTTAAGCGTTTAAGCTAGAGAATTTAAGGATTGGCGATCGTTTAACAACATTTTCAATTATACTTATCAAATTATGCAATTAGTCATGTAACATTATCAAGCTGTGATTGTTGGCAGCGAGCCAACGAGCCAGCGACAATTGGGGGATTGGTGTAAATGCAAAGCGTGACGACATCATCAGACCCCTAGAACCTCATTCGATATTCGATATGCGGCAATTAAAATGTAAATTGTATAAAATGCAACAAGCTGTTTGCTGTTTGCCCGCTGGCATGGCAGCTCATAATCAAGTCGCACAATACCCCAGAAGCAATTGTATTGCGCATACGCAACGTTGGCCTAAGGTTATTGCCAAGAATTTATGGCGAAATGTCGAACACAAGTCGCTGAAATTGACACGTTTCACATTTAGCATATTTTTGTAATTGATTCGAATTGATTATTATTATGAGACTATTTATTTTTGCTATTATTATTATTATTATTGTTCTTAGTATTGCATCACACACCCCGAAATGCCATGAGATTCATTTCAATTTTCATACTGAACGTATCAAATATCGGCAGCATGACAAGTTTTTGCAGCTAGTCCGAGCATTCAAAATGTAAATTAATTAATTTATATGTTTTGGTGTCATAATGCATAGAGCGTGCTGTTGTTTTGTCCGTCCTCTGCTTCTTCGCCCAGCGATGCCGGCTGCGCTGCTGTACGCCCATCGCAATTGATAAAACTGCATTTATTGAATTGCATTGAATCGTTTTCAATAGAAGTGCATGCGCCGCTAAATAGTTGTGGCAAATGCATTCGACTATCTCGCGTGCCTGTCAACAAATCGGCAAATTGACAAATGACGTCATTGTTGTGTCTCATGGCCCATTGAAAGTGCAAACGTACGTTTTGTCGGCTGACTAGACGCTCAGGTATTTAGGGGCACTCGCTCATAAGTATGTCGCCATTGAGTGCTCTAATCGCTAGTATAAACACGGATCTACATCAGCGCTTAGCTGACGTGACGTCACACTCGTCATGCTATTTCATAAATGGAGCTGAGCTGACCATTCCAATTGGAATCTAAATCTTTAAGTTTGTTTACATTTCAAGTTAGTGTCAAATTAACAGTTCACACCTCTCTGTTTAACAGCTGTTGTCTATAGCTTGAACCGTTAGTGCGACGTCTGTATTTGGCCAATGAATAAAACTAGCTCAGATGTGAGATTTCGTTGGCTCTTCAATTATGCAACAACTGATAATTGAACGAGCCACAGAAATGTAGAAAACAATAAAAGCTAATGAAGATTGACTGACTTGACAATACCCTCAACTTGGCTGCGATCTGTCAATGAACATTTTCATTATCACTTTACTAAATATATTTATCAAGGCGAGAAAATTTATAGAATATTTATTTGTAGTTCGATTATTATAAAAAAAAAATTACAAAAATATGTGTGAAAAATATTAAAAATGATATTTACTACTAATTAATATACTAAAAAATTATAAAAATTGTAAAAGAAAAACATAAAAAAAATATTTAATCGTTATTAAATCCAATATAAAATATTTGTGTGTTGTAGATAAAATTAGCTGTGACATACAGTTGCTCAAAGGCAATATACCCATTTTCAATGCATTAGGGTAGCAATAAAGCCATAAATTAATTTAGCATGAGTGGGTGTGTTAGTCAGAAGCCATTGGAAATACATATATTAAACGTAAACAAAGTAGTCTAAACACTTAGTTCCAAGTGTGATGCCTATTCACAGCCATTTATTCGGGGAACAGCAACTGGAATTATAGCATACCGATGAAAGCCAAGTTAAATGCGTGTCAGACAACTGCAGCTGTATCAATTGAAGTGAGTTGCCCTAAAAGATAAACTCGGAATGAAGGCTTTATTGTTTCAATGAAGACTTTATCCGGCAGTTGTTAGATTAAATGGCAATTCTTACTATTGATGATTTGTACTTAAATGATTTTTTAATCGGTTGTTTCATAATTTATAATTAAATGGCGACTCGTAATGAAAATTTCAACAG